AGGGGGTGTAAAACCATTAAGCCCAGAGCCTAAAGCTCCATAACTGCACCACGGCAATATATGGGAAATATATCCCACTTCATTTAATCAGACTGACACCAGTGCAGCAATGTTTAATTCCTCAAAGGAGGGGTGTTGGGGTTTGATCCGTTTCCTGGCTGGGCATCACTCCTTTGTCCCCAAGGCCCCAGAAATCTGGCAGCTGTTCGAGGCTTGCTAAGTCCCCTGAAACACAGATCCAAATGAACGCAGCTCCATCATCTGAAGCTCCTGGGTCGCTCCGTGAGTTGTGGATCGGACTGACTGTCAGCGTTGCTTGCTAAGGGGAGCCCTTCGGCTGCTCGTCTGTTTCACTTTGGTTCCTCCCTGAAGCGACGCAACTGATCTTGCGCGCTGTCCCAGGGCTGTCAGCTATGAAGGAGAGCCCTGCGTGCGTCCTTTGTGCATCTCTAGAAAGCTGTGTGTGTGTGTGTGTGTGAGAGAGAGAGAGAGAGAGAGAAAGAGAGAGAGAGAGAGAGAGAGAGAGAGAGAGAGAGAGAGAGAGAGAGAGAGAGAGAGAAGGCAGTGGGTGGCAGTGCTATAGGCCCAGCATTTTGCAGCCACGCTGGAAAGCCAGCGCAGCAATTCAAGGACAATTTGCAGCCAAAGTTTAAGGCGCTTAAAAGAGTTGGCAATGCTGAAGCTAGCAACGTAAGCACATTTCTTTCTTCTTGTTTTGTATGAGAGCCTTCTTCAAATATCTTAAGGGCTGTCACGTGGAAGATGGAGCAAGTTTGTTTTCTCCTGCTCCTGAGGCTAGGACCCGAACCAGTGGGTTCAAGTGACAAGAAAGGAGATTCTGACTAAACATCAGGAAGAACTTTCTGACAGGAAGAGCTGTTCTACGGTGGTGTGGACTCCCTTGGGAGGTTGTAGACTCTCCTTCCTTGGAGGCTTTTAAGCAGAGGTTGGATGGCCATTTGTCATGTATGATCTAGTCGTGATTCTTGCATTGCAGGGGGTTAGGCTAGACGACCCTGACGGTTCCTTACATCTCTACAATTCTATTATTCTGTTTAAACCCGCAAGCCCAAAGTACCAATGAATTGATTAATTCTATTATTGTTATTGTTATTGCTGGTGGTGGTGGTGGTAGCCGAGGTGTTTGTTGTTATTTTATTACCCCCTCTTCACCCTAAAGTCCAAGAGGCGGGCTACAACAATTTAAAGCACAATATTAGAACCACCCCCTACTGGCTCCGTTTCCCGTCCTTTCCCCTCTCCAAGTAGCCAAATCCCCCACAGATACCCGACGCCTTGTCGTTTCGCGGCGGACAGACTTGCGGGCTTCAACCGCGAATCAAGGCGGCCAAACGGCCGTCGAAAGTTGCGACGGGGAGCAGCAAGTCGGCCTGAAGGGCCCTGGGCGCGTTGGCACACTCGGTTGGGACTGAGCCCCCCTGACCTCAGTGGGGTCTCTTTTCGGGGGAAGCCTCCTGCAGGCCGCCCTGTCCCTCACAGCGACTGCAGGATCCTTCTGAGCTCAGGCTCGCGCGTTTCAATCTCCTAGACGGCCTCGCAAGTGACAACTTACGAGGGGGTGGGATGGCGCGGCCCTGACGTGGTTTTCGCCCCTCTGTCGATCAGAGGGTTTGCTGCGAGCGACGGGAGAGTGGAAGGGAGGAGAAGACGCAATGGAAACGTCTCTCTCCCGCCCCCGATCGGTGGCCTTAATCGCAGGTCCGCGAAGGACTCGTCGGGGGACAAGGAATTAATGGCACTTCCTTTCCTATCTCTAACGAAATCATCTCCTCCACCAGTCTGTTACTGGAGCGATTATAGCTTCGTTTGGGAGCTGCGTCTTCTCTGCCCGATCCCCACCCTGGCTAAACTCCACGACTGGAATTGAAACCGATTCCCCCCAACCCTTATTAAGAGTGGCTTAGCTCAGTACAGTGCTGGGCAGAGCGTGTAGATCGGCCCACAGAGAAGGAATGGCATTGCCTCTCTTATTTATCTCTCCTGGACCGTCCCACCCACCCAACTTAAAGCTGTACGCGTTGAATTCTGTTTTGTTTTGGCTTTTAAAGAAGGCCATTGGTTTCTTATTGATATCACTTTTGCATCGGGCAAAACAAACAAACAAACTAAAGATTACCACCCTCTTGAGGATAGAACAAATTTACCACCATTAGGCTCGGCTGTAAACTGCCAAGGTGCAAGCCAATCCCAAACACTTTGACTCACGCAAGTCCCACAGACTTAACTCCCTCATAGGAATGCATTAGGATTGGAGTCTATTGGCAAATAGACTTTCCCACTAAATGTATTTCGAGTTCAGGCGCCTGCTCCCTTGGAAGGCACGTTGCCCCAGAGCGCATTTAACTTGGAAGCTGTGATCTCTTCCTGCATCCGTTTAGGGCTGGAAGAAAGGGAGAGCTGGTCTCCGCTATCTTTGGAAGCTTAAAGGCTCCAAGATGTGGGTTCATTTTAAGCGATAGCTTGGGGGCATTTTTTGGAATAATTATATTGATTATGTTTAGGTCTTGCCTGTGTCCAAAGTTTCAAGGCGAGGGCCATTTAGAAAAAGGGGAATCCAAACACAGTTTTTCAAAATAAAAATCTTCCGGATAAATCCACATTTTCCTTCTTTTATGACGTACAAATCTCTAAGCCACGGGGAACGCCTCTGTAGAATGACTTTTTTCCCCCATCCGAAAACTTCACCTGCATAACATTTAGCCGTTGTCAGACAAACAAAACAGAAGATCAGGGTAGATTAAACACTTAACGGCATTAAATCAAGGATCATGTCCCCAAGTATGCGCTCTCGCTCTCTCTGTATATATAGAGAGGAACAGGACTCTGGTGCTTTTAATAGTTGTGCAAAAGAAGGAAATTCTTTTGCCACTAGTCGCCCTTAGCAAAACATCGTCTGGCCTGGCCGTGAAATTTTAGTAGTCAGTGGCTGCTTAGTCAGTTGCCCCCCTGAGCATGCACATAATTGGCTTTAGAGGCACGTTTCATTTCAGATGAGTAGAGAGAGCAAACACAATCCACACTACTGTGCCGCTTGCCTGCTCTTCCCATAGGGCTGAATAGATGAACCCAAAAGTCCAGATATAAAAGATATGCTTTAAGTATATCCTGTGGGTTTATACAGGCTTCGTCCACCTCACCCCCTTCCCTGCATTTATCCCTGAGAAATTACTTGTGCAGTTTGATCCTATCCATATTGGAAACGGGTTGCGCGTGTTCGGGATCCAGCGTCTGAGGCCTCGCTTTCCCAAACCGTTCTGCGCCTTGGTGATCCTTAAAAGAAACAGCCTCTCTGAGTCGTCTTCCAAAGGCAAGCAGAGCCATGGCTCTATTTAGCTAGTCCCTTAAAAACCCGTAGAGATGATGTTTTTAATCCAAACATCTAACGGGAACGAAGGGAATTTTAACTGGGCTTTTAAAGCACTGCTGGATAACAACTAATGAACAGCGCAACCTTTGACGTGTCCCATTGACACGCACAGCCCAGACAAGTGTATATAATAGGTTGGCAGCAAAATAAGCCTATGCGTGTTTACTCGGAGGTAAGTCCCACTGTGTTCTATTGGCCTTGCCTTATTGTAATGTAAGACAACAGAAGCATCCCGTGTAACCAGGCAGGTGTGTGTGTGTGTGTGTGTGTGCGCGCGCGCGCGCGCGTGTAGATAGAGATACACACACACACCTGTACATTACCTCTCTGCACATTTACACATTTTATTTGCTCATTTTCGGTGCTTATTTACTTAAAACGAGAGAAGTTGTAATCCCTCCACCACCAGGCGAAAACTTGCGCGGCAGACCTTGGCTAAGGGAGCTCTTGATAATCACGCTCTTTTGCTTCTGAAACTGAAACACTTTCAGGCTGCCGTCCGAAAACACACGAAGTGAGGGAACGATGTGCTGAGGATTGCGGGGTTAATTCTCTCTCCTAGGATTTGGCCAGCCCTCCAGTTGTATGTGTGCGTATTTTCTTCACTTCCAGGTCTGAATCCGCCTCTGTTATCATCAGCTCTCAAGACTTTCTTCTTCTTCTTCTTCTTCTTCTTCTTCTTCTTCTTCTTCTTCTTCTTCTTCTTCTTCTTCTTCTTCTTCTTCTTCTTCTTCGTGCAGTTCGCCCCACTTTCTGCCAACAGATAATTTAAAGCTGATTCCTGTTTTATTGAATCGTCAAGAGTGGCGCGCCGCGTCCCAACGTGTGACTGTCCTTCAAACCGTCACCAGAGCGCATTAAGGAGGCGTGGGTTGTACAGATCCTAAACAATTACTACTCTGCTCTGTTATTAAACAATTACTACTCTGCTCTGTTATCTATTTCTAGAGGAGGCTAGTAAACCTCTGTCCTAAACTCTGACAATAAATTGGTCCTATAGAAATTCGTGAAAATTTATTTCCAAATAATGTGCTCGAATTTGGGTCAGCAATCCTCAAACTGATCACTCGGAAGGAAACCCCGTTGACAACAGAAGTGGATACGGTTTATTTTTAAACGCCGGCCAATAAGTTTAGGGTCTGACTCTGAGGCCATTGAACGTTTTCACTCTTCCTTGAGTTTCCCACGGGCGTTATTTGCGTTCGATGCCTCCAAGTTCACAGGCACAAGGGATCTGCCTCTTTGGAAGAGCGCCGGTCCAGCGGGGACCATGACTCCCAAAACCTTCCTTTTTCTCCAGTTGCAAGAAGCAAAGTGGTTTAACATGAGCCTGGCGCGAGCAGAAATAGGAGCGGGGTGCTCTTTCCCCAGGACTGTCGAAGAGCTGCCGTCGGGGTGCTTTCCTTCTCATCTCCCTGGGATCCCGGAGCGGAGCGATCCGGCCGCTTCTTGGCGCGTCCCCTCCTTCGGAGCGCGGAGGTCAGAAACCGGACGCGGCGCGCGCAAGGGTAAAAAGGGGTGTGTCCGACATGCGGTGACGTCACTGCGCCGCCCAGCCAGTGAGAGGCCGGCCTTTCGGAGCCCCGTTCCAATAGGAAGCGAGCTAGCTCTGTGAGTGGCATTAAGGCCGGGCTAGAAGAAAGCCAGACTGAGAAATGAAGTTGTGCTAAAAAGCCCTTTTGGCTATCCAGAAGTTTATTAGGCATTTCTCAGCTGGAAATTAAGGGATCTTCATTAATAGCCCCTCTTCATCCCAGATTAGAGCCCAGGGCGAAGCTGGGAGAAACCGAAGCGAGATGGGACGGAGGAAAACTCCATCGCCCGCGGCAGGGGAGGCTAACTTCTCCTCCACCTTGGGAGGATCTTCCTGAGTTTCATTCAAGCGCCGAGATTGTCACCTTGGGCGCGGGGACAGAAGGTAAGTGGCCGAAGGGCACGCGAGAGGGCGGAAGGGGTGGCGAGGGCCCCCGAGGCTGTTTTGGGGAGCGGGGAGGTGCGATCCCTTCGGACTTGGCCAAACATCATCCGGACTCCCCCCTCCCCAATGTGGCGCTCAGATAAAGGTTAGCTGATGCTCTCCCTTGCTGCGAAAGTCTGTTCTGGGGGGAAGCGGGTGGGAGAACTCCCTTGGAAGGAGCTCTGCGCAGCAGTGCAAGAGAATGATTTTGGAAGGAGCGTTTGCAAGGGACCCGAACGGGATCAGCTGCGGAGGGTTCTCCAAGGGCAGAGCGACAGAGGTCTCTGTTTGATCCTACCCCCCCCCCCGTCCATATTGAGATCCAAATAGAGGGAGGGAGGGAGAGGAGGGACTAGCTGATTTCATTATCCACGGACGCCGCCATCCTCAAAGTGTTTAAGCCAGAGTGCCGGATTTAATAGCCGAACTGGTTCAAATGGGTTTCAAACAAGACCGGACACTACGTTAAGCGAAGGAATCCGGCCTAACTCGTTTCTAGATCGGAAGCACCGTTTGCATTGCAGAGGGGTTGGACTAGATGACCCTCGGTGTCGGTGTCCCTTCCAACTCTACAGTTCTTTCTGGCTATATCATTGATTGTATTTTTTCTCCTAAGAACTGGTTGCTAGGAGGAAATGGGAGAATGCCACCATAGTAATAATTAATAATATCAGCAACAAGGGGCGCAAATTATTTGGGGAAATCTGCGCGAATCCTTTTAAAATGAACAGAATCTGGAGAAACACTGATATCAGCAGAGTGTGATAAGAACATCTGCATGGGACTGGGCCCTAATAATAATGGTGGTGGTGGTGATTACTTTTTGTTTTTACTTGGTTAAAGACTCTGCATCTGTGATGTATTGTTTAATGGAGTTACGCAGAGCCAGTGGCGTAGCGTGGGTGGTGCAGGGGGGCCGGCCGCACCGGGGCGCAACATCTGGGGGTTAGGGTTAGGGGGCGCAAATCCACGGGTTAGGGAGTGCAAATTACTTGCCTTGCCCCGGGTGCTGACAATCCACGCTACGCCACTGCGCAGAGCCGAAGCGTCCCCCCTGGTTTCGATTATTCGGAGGAATGGGCACCACTTGAAACAGTGCCGCTTCCAAGGGAGGCCATCTGATCCCTTCTCCTCCTCCCATTCCCAATGCTGAAAGCGACACTCACTGGCCCCAGTTGCAGTCCTCGGAAGCTAGTCCCGCTGGGCTCGACGGGGCTTACACCCAAGGAAGTGTGCGCAGGATTGCGCAAGATTGCAATCCTACAGGTGCCTGACTCCAAAAGCAAGCCTCCGCTGGGTTCAGTGGGACTCACTGCCAGGGAAGGATGCCCAGGTGGATGTCAGCCTCATTCCCTCCGGGGAAAGGCTTTACTTACTCACACACCGCAGAATGCTTCCAAGGTGCGATGTTTTCCCTTGAGAATTAAACCCTTCGACCTCCCCGTCTCACCTCCCTGCCGTTGTTGTCTTCACAGTAGCCTGAAGGAGCGGTCCCTGAGTCTGCAGATTCCCGGCCACTTTTTTTCCCGCAAAGGGAGAGGAAGAGCTAGAGAGGCCTGGAGATTCTCAAACGTTTGAAGAGACGCTACCATGTCTCTTTTGCCCGGAATTACATTTTCAGCCACGACGGGAAGAAAGCACCAAGGACCCCCTGACTGGATTGCTGAGCTCTGAAGCCATCTTGCCGCTCTCCTCTCTGCCAGTCGCTTTTGGATTCCCAGAGCTGGATTCGCAACTTTTACAGCCCATTGATAATCAGCTCCTTAATAATAATAATAATAATAATAATAATAATAATAATAATAATAATTGATGCTCTTGCACCTATCACCATCCCGCACCCTGAAGCTTAAGCATTCGCGCCCCGCATTTTAAAATGACTTTGTGATTTCAAAACAAAGCAACAAACAATTTCACGATGCTTTGCTGGAACTGACCGAGGCGCCGGCACGCACACTTTTGTTTATTTTTTTGGATGCATCTGTGGAGCTTACACTGTCAGAAAGAAAGGGGAAGAAACCACCATGAAAGAGAAGTCCAAAAATGCGGCCCGGACTAGGCGGGAGAAAGAAAACAGCGAGTTTTACGAACTGGCCAAACTGCTGCCTTTGCCTTCCGCCATCACCTCGCAGCTGGATAAAGCCTCCATCATCAGGCTCACCACCAGCTACCTGAAGATGCGGGTGGTTTTCCCCGAAGGTAGGTGCCCTCTGTCGCGGGATTCAGCGACCCACCCCTATTTCCTAATCAGCGCGCGCGCGGGGGGGAGGTCCTTGATAGCCCAGGAGGCCTTCAGAGCTGGCCTCTTCCTCCTCTCATCTGGTCCAGTAGTTTAAGAGCGGACTAGGGGAGCCGTCGAGGGGGAGTCGCCTCGTGGCCCTGTTCCTCTGGCCTGTGTAGTTTTCGCACCAGACGGCTCTCTGGAGTGGTTCCCCACTCTCTTTCAAAAATAAATCTTTCTCTTCTCTCGCTCCCCCCTCTCTCCCTCCCTGCCCATAAACACTTTCCCCTTTGGTACATAGGATGTGTTTGGCTGGGAACCGCCGGCACCTTTGTCAACACGTCGAGGCTCAGAGCTCAGCTGCTCGTTCCAGTAAAACAAACAATGCATTTTCTCTCTCCGCCCCGCGTCTCCCTCCCGGCGAAGCCACGTGCGTTGCTCAAAAGGGCAATTCTCTCATATTTATTATAGATAAATTGGGCAGGAGGGAGGAGAAGGTGGGGGAAATGAATTAATACGAGGCTAAATATTTGCATGGATGGATCGACAGCGCGCAGCCCCTGGGCTTCTGTGCCGAGCAAAAAAAGGGAGGCAGCCGCGGACAGATGCGTCGCGTCGCGGTGGGGAAAGGTGCGGGGGCGGAGGAAGGAGCCGGCGAATTTAAATGCCTCTTTTGAATATTCATGAACGTGGCACATCTGGAACTGATGTCGAGGGTCCAGGTTTTTGAGAAGGCATGAATCAAGGCCGTCGGTGTAGTCAGCGAAAAACAAAAACAGTCTTTCCTGGTGTTAAAAGTTATTCGTAAGAAGCAAGGCCGCGATAACTACACGTTCTGGGTGATCAGGATGGGGGAAATAGCTGGAGTGGGGGTTGTTTTTTTTTGGAGTAGTGTGATTATTATTATTATTTTTAAAGGGGGGGGGGAGAACAGGATTCCTTAATAATAAGGTATGACAAACTTCAAACAGGGGGGGAAATCCAAAGAAAAGCCAGGAACATCGGCCTCAATCCCCTCTGGCAATGGCTTTTAAGAGGAAATTCCCATTGCCTAGCTGAATGTTCGGCTTGCTTTTTTGTTTTTTAAAGATCAGACTGTTACTCTAGGATCCTGTGTTCTTTAAAAAGTCAGTAAGCCAAGGGCTCTTCTCCTGTGAAACCCGGATCCCAAATATGTTGAGACTGAACTCGGAAGAGAATCGTGGGACTTCCTTGCGTCGCTCCAAACTCTTCTTTGGATTAAGGGCCCCTCGTGTTTTCTGCTGTCACCAAATGAGACTCCCTTTCCCGTCTACATGGAATCGGGATATGAATATGATCCCGATTAATCTAAAATATATATTTGGCGTTATAAGATCAGTGGCTATTTTTAAATCAGGCAAGGGGTTAGAAAACTTCACTAAGGATGGTACCAATATTTTGTAAAGATAAACAGGAACCAGGGGATATAGGGAAATGGGGGGACGGAACTTCTCCCGGCGGAGTTAACGAAAACAAATCATTAGGATAGCTATAGCCTTAAGAGCATATGCAGTATTATTGGGGAAGTGAGGCGATCGCATTCACAGGATATTTCAGTTATGAAATCGAGGAGAACACAAGCGCAAGGTGTTTGTTTTTTACAGAAAGTCAGCCCCGACAGAATTTACTTAGAAATAAGTTGAAGTGGAATTTATTTCCCAGAAAGCCTACAATCATACTTGCTTAGAAAACGTTCCTTTGAAATTGAGGGGACTTCAAAATAACTGGCTTGTGACCCAGCTGTGCGTTCTGCATATTTTGCAACGTGCAGTTCAACTTATTAATATGTGCATCGGGCTGTTTTCGTAAAACGGGATCCAAGTTTCATTCTTTTTAGCTTCCGCAGATTTCGAAAGCGGGGGAGTTAAACACATGCTCAGAGAGTAGCAAAAGAAACCAGAGGGATTTAAATACAATTAACTTTGGCTGGATCGCACCCATACTTTGCAACATGTAACTTGCTCTTATTTATACAGGCATTTGATGAAACCAAGGCAGTTTGGGATGGGATGATGATTGTTATTTTCCCTTTACCGTCCTGCAAATACCAAGGCATCTCCAGATTCCCATTCTGCATATACATATTTTCGTTAGTTTGCAAAGAAGTTCCCTTGATTTCAAGTTGGGCATGATCCAGCCAGAGCCCGGTAACTTTACCAGCGTACACAACACGTGCCGCATTCCTTTATGCCGCGGTCGATGGGATTAAAGCGCGCTCCATTTCGGTTGGATAGTGCTCTGTGTTTGGGAAAGCAATCCAAGCTCTGTGTGTGTGTTGTACACTGTGCCGCTTCTCCGAAATGTCCGTGTTTAGGAGAAGGGTGCTAATCACTCTTGGGGTAAAGGGGGAGAGGATGCAAAGGCGATGAAGTCACCTTTTCATTCCGGCGCACAGTTTTTGGAGACCTTTTATCCTCACCACCCCCCCCCGGCCTAATTTCCCCCTTTCGAAAAGGCGGCTCCTTTCGACTGTCCACGCGGAACTTGTGGAAGTATTGGGCCCGTGGGGGGCCCTTGGGGTTCCTCCAAAGATGATTAGCCACGATTTGCCCGCTTCCTCGGTCCCGGCGGGCTTCCTCCGGAGCGTGCTTTGCAGCAGCTCTGCGCAATTACCGGCGCCTCCCTCGCGGGCTTGTGCGATCAGAAGAAGCATATGGTGTTGCTTGTCGGCTGCGAGCAATCAGAGGAGGCAAAGAAGGGCTGATCCTCTGTCCCAGCTTCCCCCTGGCTTGTAAGCCGGCGAATGTCTGGAAAGGGAAAGGAAAGGGGTGGGGGGAGAGGAGAGAGAGCGAAAGCCGCCAGGGAATTGAGGTGGTCAAGGGCAAAGCGAGCCAGATCCGCTGCTGGGATAATGGCCCCAGCGTCTGCCACACTCGGAGGCAGCGAGAGAAGTTCTTGGGGCTCGGGCTCCCTTTCTCTCTGTTGCCTCTTTCTCTTTTGCTTCTTTTTCTTGTTTTCTATCTTAGGTAGCTGTGATCTTCTTGCATTGTATGGGGAAATCTCAATAAAAACCTTACTGAAAGGTGTTCAGCTCCAGCTACGGATGGCTAAGGGTCCTGGATTTTGGCTCCGGTGCTTGCCCGAAGTGGGCTCCCCCCACATTATTTATTTTTTTTATTTTTAATTATTAAGGTCGATCTTAAACGTGCTGGGCACCGCGCGACACCCAGGAGCTTCCAAGCCCATTGCAGTCACTAGACAGCAAGCCTAAATCCAGCGATTAGGAAATAAATCCCACCTCAGGCAAGGGGAATTTAACTTCTTCCTGAGCACGCACCCGCTCCTCTCTCCCTCTTTCTCTCTCTTTCTCCCCACCCCCACCTCAACCATCCTCTTTATATGCTTGGGCTAAGGTAGGGAAGGGTTATGGGGAAGACGTCTTATGTGATGGCTTGCGTTTTGGTTAAGATCACTGCATATCTTAATTTTGGGAAAGGGGAGCAGAGAGAATTAGCCTGCAAGAGCTAATTGGGCTGCGGACTGGGCTGAAGGTCTTCCTTACTTCTTCCAAGCACGTTGGTAGGGATCGGGGCCTACAGGCCTGAGCCTAGCCGCCTAGATGAAGCCCCATCGATTTCAGTGGCGCCAAGCAGGGTCTCGGGCACAGCTGCCTTGCGGAATGGTTGTATCCATGTGGAAGGAGTCCCAGGATCTGTCTGTGTGTGGTCCGGACTGAGCATGTTCAGGATTGCCACTTGAAGGAAGGCAAGGAAGGAGAACAGCAGTGGGGTGAGGAAAGCGAGCGCTAGAAGCAGACGCAGAAACAAACCAGCGGTGTCCAAACCATTATTGTTACTATGGCAAGGCAGGGATGGGGGAGTCGGCGGCCCTTCAGATCCTAGATGACAACTCCCATCATCTCTGGCTGTTGGACATTGGGCTGATGGGAGCTGGAGTCTAGCAGCCGTTGGAGGGCCACGGGCTCACCGCCCCTCCCCCGTATTATCAAGCCATCTCTTTCCTCTGAAGTACACGTGGCACCATCAGCTACCCATCAACTGTACTGGTCCTCTGACCTAAAGCCGCCTGGCAGACTTAGCCCGGCTGAACAACGTAGGACTAGTTTCCCCAGGTCTAAGGGCGCTCTTTCTCTCTCTCCCTCTCCCTCTTCCTCAAGTACCTTGGGATCGAAGCCTTAGCACATCAAAGGCCAGCAGGTTCACTTAAAAGAGGGCTACCGCTGGTTTCTGGATTTTGGCTTGTTTTTCTTGGCTGGTTCTTGAAGACAGGCAAATTCATCGCCTCTCTTCCGAATTTTTCACAGGGCCTGAAATGCTCAGCGGAATAGGGTGGGATCTGCTTAGAATCCGGGTCTGGGCGCGTTGTGAGAATGGACGCGCCATGACACGCAATCGCAGACAGTAGTAGGTGATTTATTTATTTTTGCACCAATTCCTTTTTTTGGGGTGGGGAATGGACGAACCTTCTGTCTTTTCCTGAGCTCTCCAGATGTTGCGTTAAGGCAAGGAAAGGAAATGCCAGACCTCGCTAAACCTACCGCATCTCTCTCCTTCCGAGTCCCCAGAGATCTTAAGTGAATTCGTATTCACGCCGGTTTGGAGGGCAAAGGTCAAATTCAGGACTCCGTTTCGCCTTCCTGTGTTTATGGACGAGCTCTGGCCTTGATCCTTTTACAAATAAATGGGAGAGGGGGGCATCCCTCCTCCTCTTCTCACCCCCTCCTCTCCTCCAAGGACAAAAGCACATTTAAAGGTGAGAAGCCGGCTAACTTCCTCCCCAGAAACAAGCAGTGACAGAGCGAGGGGGCCAAACGAGAGAATGACGCCATGTCGGAGCCTTGCTAGGCTTTCTACGTCAGCGCCCAGTTCGGGGACCGTCTGTTAGGGATCGATTTGGCTGAGCCAAATCAGGCCAAGTAGCTGAACGACAGAACCATTTTTAAAGGAACCCTGCTGCAAGGGTTGCATTATTCGCAGAATGAAATACAGCAAAAGACCAACTGTCTTGCTTTCATGCTCCATCTTTTGTAGAGAGTTGTTGTTGCGGTTGTTGTTTCCCCAAACATTACTAAAGTTTGGTAAAATATTTTAAGGAGAGAAATACAGCTCAGCGATTTAGGAGCATGCCACGCGTCTTTTCGTCTCTCTTGTCTAAAATATTTCCTAAGCAGCGTTTGCATTCAGATGCTTGAGGGCCACCAGTTATTACGTAGCTGTTGCTTTACACCTGTGCAAGAATAGATCGAACGGCCCGAGGTCCTCCAGATAGGGAAGGGTTTACAAACCATAGCGGATAGATTTCTAGAAACGTTTTAATCCGGTGTCCAAACCAAGGAGTGGCTTTCGTTGCTTTAAAGACGGGGCAAGGAGGTGTCTTCAGAATCAAGTCCCACTGAAGCCATGGGGGCTGTCCCTCAGTGAAGTTTGGGTAATTTAAATAGGATATTAA